AGTGTCTCACTCTGTCACCCAGGCTAGAGTGCAGTGGTGCAATCACAGCTCACTGCAACTTCAAACTTCTGGGCTCAAACAATCTTCCTGGTTCAGCCCCCAAGTAACTAGGACTACAGGTGCAAGCCACTGTGCCCAGCTAATTTTTTTTGGAGGGATAGGGGAGAGATGGAGTCTCGCTATGTTGCCCAGGCTGGACTTGAACTCCTAAGCTCAAGGAATCCTCCTGCCTCAGTCTCCCAAAGTGCTGGGATTACAAGCATGAGCCACTACACCTGGCCTGCAATTTATTTTTTGATGTAACAATTTTCATCGTTTTGTATAAAGGTCATTAAATATGAAATGTCCAACTTCAAATCAAACATCTAGTTTATTATATCTCAAACAAGAAGCAGTACAATTAATTGAAGTATGTGCCTAAACTATCAACAGAGTTTTACCAACTTAACGGTAGCCTGCTTATGCCAGCAGCAAAGAAGGCTGGAGAGTGAGTGGCGATGAAATTGCAAAAGGAGTTTTCCACAGCTTGTTGAGAATTGAATATTTTTCCTTGCAAGGAAGGGTCCAAAACCTGGAAGAAGTGGTAGCCAGTTGGTACAAGGTCTGGTGAATACCGTGGATGACAGAGAGTTTCCAAGTCCAGCTTCTGTAGTTTGAGCAGCATTTTTTTTGTGTGTCATGTGGTCTTGCAAGAAGATTGGCCTGCCTCTATTGACTAATCTTGGCTGCTTAATCCCAAGAATCCTCATCATTTTGTTCAACTGGTTGCTTTAGACATCCACTGTAATTGACTGACCAAGATTCATGAAGCTGTAGTGGATAATACCAGTGCTGGACCACCAGACAGACACCATTAGCTTTTTTGGATGAATATTCAGTTTGGGACTGTGTTTTGGACTTCAATTTATCCAACCATTGTGCCAACCGCTTACCATTGTCCAAAGGAATACATTTTTAATCACACATAACAATATGGTGTAGAAATGGTTCACCTTTATGTCGTGACACGAAGGCAAGCTTTGAGATGATTTTCTCTTCTGATGCTCATTTAATTCATGTTTAATTCATCCATCCATCCAGCTTCTTCACCTCGGTCATTTGTTTCAAATGGTCCAGTATTGTTGGAATAGTAACATCAAATATTGCTGCTAATTCATGCCTAGGTTGAGATGGATTTGCTTCCACTATAGCTTTCAGCACATCATTATCCACTTTGGTCTCAGGTTTCCCACATGGTTCATTTTCAAGATTAACATCACCAGAATAGAACTTCTCAAACCATCGACATGCTGTGTGTTCATTAGCCACATCCTTCCCAAACATAGTTGACATTTCAAGCTATCTGTGCTGCATTGGTTCCATGATGGTACTCATATTCGAAAATAACATGAATTTTTGACTTATCCATGGTTTCACAAAAGTTGGTCTAAAAAAAAACAATTTGGAAGATAGGCACAAGCCAAAATGTGTGTTTGAAACACTGAAGATACACTTTCACAATTTAAAAAAAAAAAAAGAAGTGTCAAAATGAAAGGTCAGAGATATCAACTCTCAAACTTAGTACTTAAGGAAATTGGACACTCCATACTTAATAACGTAATATATATTTCTTAACAATTTATTATAGCTGAGTTTCCTTATGAACATTTTTTTCAATTCCATTTTATGCAATTTGTAAATTTCTATTTCTTTGGGGTAAGTTTCTGGAGAATTATAGTGTTCTTTTGTTGGTGTCATGATGTTTCCTTGCTTTTTCATGTTTCTTATGTCCTTGCCTTGATGTCTGCACATATGGTGGAACACAATCACCTCTTCTGAACTTTACAGAGTGGCTTTTATAAGAAAGCCTTTCACCTGCAGATGGGTCTTCACATACCAGTTGGAAAGGCTGTGGTGGCTCTGCTTCTGAGTATACGCAGTGGTACAGCCTCTGTTCAGCTTCTTCAGCTGTGATCGACGTCAGCAATGACTGGGGGTGCCTCAGTGGCCTAGGCTACAGGAGTTTGTGGCATTGGCTGCATCAGCATAGGTTGCTAGGGTCCTCAGTGGCAAGAGCTTTGGCATCTTCCTGTTCTTGTTTTTGCCACAATGGTAAGCCTTAGCTGAGGGGATCCCTCTTGGCATTGGATCTGATACAGCCCACAAACAGCTGCAGCAGCACTGGGTTCCAGGGCGTAGGTACTAAGAGCAGCCATAGAGCTGGGGTCCTGGGTTCAGGGTCTCAAAAGCCTATTGTGGCATCTGGGATGTAGGTTAACCCCTTAAGGCAGGATTGGATGTAGATTTCCCACAGAGCCAGGGTCTGTGACAATGAGGCATCCGCCCTCCTCACCCCAGGAGCTCAGACCTAGGAGACTTCAGGGAATAAGAGGTGCTCTGGAGGTTTGGGCTTGGGGAACAGGGCAGAGCTACAATTCAGGAACCACAGCCAATAGGGCACAGTGGCAACTCAGGCGCTGGGGTTGAGGCACCACATTGTGAAGACTCTGCCTCTGGGATGGTAGAACACAGCCATATCCCAGACTCTGTGAGGCCAGGTGCAACAGCAGCAAGGACCCTGGGATGCTGGAATAAGCTGTAAGTTGGCCACTGGGGGACAGGGAGCAGCACAGAGATTAATCTACTCCCAGGGGAGGGATGTGTCTCAGCAGATTAGATTCTAGGAAGCTAGTCTAATTCCAGGAAATAAGGATTTTACAGTTGTTCTGCTTGTGGGACGGAGCATCTCAGCTCAGTCAATGCTCTGATATGGAATAACATGTCAGCTTAGCCCTGGGATGTACAGATGCTTGGCTGAGCCACAGCATGGATTTTCTGGTGATACAACATTTCAGCTTTTGCCCAAGGGGCCATGGCTGCTCTGGGCAGCCAAGGCACCATATTCCTGGGAAAGAGGGTGCCACTTCAACTCATGTACAGTGCGGTGTGACTACCCTGGGCGGCCATGACATCAGTTCCTAGGAAGTAGGGCATTGAGCCCAAGTTCCCAGCTTGGGCTCTGGGCAACCAAGGAACCATTTCCCTGGGGGCGAGTGGCCATGCACCCTTCTATCCCTAAGGCTTTGATGTCATTGAACCATCCCTGCTTTGTGGCATGCCATCCCTGAACTGAGTGCTGCTACACCCCACCCTGTGGGGCCAAGCTGCTACAGAGCCACTTTATCTACCCCTCCCAGTTGCTGCTGTGCCCTGCCCTCAGGGCTTGTGCTGAAGCAGCACACTGTACCCAGAGCAGGCCACACTCCCACAGTGGTTCCAGTTCCAAGATGGTGTAGCACAGTAACCCCATGAGACACAAGGGGTGGGGCACAGTATTGGTGCCTTCTCTGTGGGGAGCACAGCTGTGTGGGTATCAAGAAGCTCCCTCAGCTGGGCTTTGCACCTGTGAGGACTGCAAGAGTCCCCAGTGTGGAGTACTATAGGTGTCCAAAGAGGTGATGGGGGCTGCTGGGGGCCTCTTGCTTACCTTTTTCCTGCAGGGAGAAGTCCCTCCTGGTTCTCAGCTGATCCCAGCTGGGGGATGAGGTGGCAGAGGCAAGGTGTTTCCTTCCATTCTCTATGTGGCCATCCTGGGTTTTTGTGCTCTACAGGGTTTCTGCTACTCCTTTGATGTACTCTGGCGCTCTCCTTCAGTTATTCTCATCAAAATGTAGGTGGTCAGTCATTCCTTTGGCTGTCTTTGTGTGGGGGACAAGTGCTAAGGGCTTCTAGCAGGCTAGCTTGCTGATGTCACTCCAGTAGGGACATTTAAACAATATTAATTCTTTCAATACATGCACACAGGATATCTTTCCATTATTTTGTGTCTCCAATTTTTTTCATCAATGTTTTATAGTTTTCAGCATACTAATCTTGCATCTCTTTGGTTAAATTTATTCCTAAGTATTTTATTCTTTTTGACACTTTAGGAAGTCAGACATGTTTTCATTATTTTCTAGAACATGTATCTGCAATCCCATGTTTATTGCACTGTTGTTCACAATAGTGAAGACATGAAAACAACTTAAGTGTCAGCCAGTGGATGAATGGATAAAGAAAATGTGGTATGTATATACAATGGAACATCATTCAGACATAAAAGAAGGAAATCCTGCCATCTGCAACAACAGGGATGAATTGGGAGGGCATTATGCTAAGTGAAAAAAGTCAGACAATGACAAACACCAGATGATCCCATCTATATGTAGAATCTTAAGAAGTCAATCTCATACAAAAAAGAGTGGTGGCTGCCAGGTGGTGGGGGGTGGGGGAAAAGGGATGATGTTGGTCAAAGACTATCAACTTTCAGTTACAAGATGAGTAAGTTCTGGTGATCTAATGTACAACATGGTGACTATAGTTAATACTGTATTGCATGCTTGAAATTTGCTTAGGGAGTAGATTTTAAATGTTCTCACTACACACACGAAAAGTTGGTAACTATGTAAGATGATGGATATGTTAACTAACTGTGGTAATCATTTCACAACATATATGTATGTCAAATCACTGTAATGTACACCTTAATATATACAATTTTGTTTGTCCATTGCACATTCATAAAGCTGGGGTAGAGGGAGAGAGAAAACTCAGACAGGTAGAAAAAAACCACGTCATATAATTATATCAGTAAATAATCCTTAAGGGGTCAGACAGAAGTTAGGAGAGAGGCTCATGTTCCCTCCATGTGTACACAAAAGGGGTCTCCAGTATAGTCTCTGGCACATGAAAATGCCCAATAAATGCTCATTTTATGAATGAATGAATGAATGTATGGACCAATTCAGTCATAAGTGAAATAGCTGCCTGGCTGCCTAAAATTCTGTGGAACTCCTTTACACATAAATAAAGAGCTTATTATCTCTGTAATGATGGATGCCAATCCAACCACAGGTCCATGGAGAATGGTCAGTTCATAAGTAGATCTTCGTCATCTCACAAACTGACCTTTGAGGTGTATCACAACGAATGTCATTCCAGCCCCATGATGAATAGTAAGCGTTTAATACAACACAACGCTCATTGCGATCACTGGGCTCACCCTGACGCCAGAATCTGAAGGGGAAAAAAAGGATGAGGGCATTTCTTTAAACAGTGTTTTCAAAAATGTTAGAGATGGTAAAGGGGTGAGGGGCTGGGGATGAACTTCACAAAAGTCAAGGTTAGATACACCCAAATCCACCCTCCCCAATCATCATACAGTTTCTCCTCCACCTGCATCTCCGATGTTTCCCTTGAAAACTGTGCCCACATCACTCAGTATTCTCCACCTTATTGCTTTGAATGTCCTCGCAGCAGATATCCCAGAGACTGACCTGTATTTGTCCATCCTTATGTCCTGTTCCCAGGGGACTGTCAATCTTATATGATGAAAAGATTTTACCCTGGCCCCACTTTTCAGTAGAATTTTTTCCTTTTTTTAATGCACTGTTTTTGGAGTCTGGAGAACTGGTAAAAAGTCTCCATATCTTCTATCTATCCCTGTTATCTTGGACAAGTCATTTAATGTCCCTGATTCTCAGTTTTCCTACATAAAAAATGGGGACTAGAGCAACATCACTGCATGTTTCACACAGTAGATATGAGTATCAAAAGTGGTCATCAACTAAAGTACTTGAGTTTTTAAAGAATTACATAAATATGAGATATTATAAGACTACCAAAATTTAGCATTTTTGCTTTATGAGAAATATGAAATCTTAGTAGTTGGTTATGATCTTAATCAACATAAATTTGTATTATATTTAAAGACATAAATATAGTGGTTAAAAGCA